AGGCATATCAACAGCAGTATAGTGAGTCAATAGGAAATAGTTCGTAAGGAAAAAAAAAATTTCTTATGAATTTTCAGGTTTTGACTCACCTATAGGAAGTGCTAATAAACAACATCAAATTAATTCAGCACCTTCTACTTTTGTATCAAGACGTCCTCAAAAGTAACTTATAGGATATAATTATTTTTTTGTCAAATTTACATGAAGAACGGAAATTTTAGAACCAATGATGAAAAAGATTATCGAAGACCACCATTAAATCCAAATGCATTTAAAAAAACTCATTTTGGCGAGGTATTTAACACAAAAATAAAATAATAATAATTTATCAAAAATTATTATTCTACAAAATACAAAATCATTGTGATTTATTGTTTTAACATGAAATATAGAGATTATGGATTAAGTAAAGTTATACAGATATGGACAAATAAGTAGACATACAATAATACTAATAAAAATATCAAACAAAGATATAAAGTGTTCATTTTTTAATACATTCTTGAATAATATCTGTTGATAAGTCATTCGATGCTTCATTGAATAAATTGTCTAACATATCTTGTGACTTGAGATTCTTTTTGTTTTAGTATTTTCTGTACGTGACAAAGTATCATATTAGTTTAATAGTTTTAAAATCAGGACTATCACCTGATGGTTGATACAATGTTACAGTCACAAGTTGAACTAGAGAATTTACTCAATGAAACATAAAATGATCTATCAATTATAAAAAAAACAAATTCAAACGCTATATGAACATTTTCTATCTTCGTTTGATATTTTTATTTGTATTATTGTATGTCTACGTTTGTATTATCCGCCTATACCTGCATAACTCTATGTAATCTAAACATGTACCGAGCCCGAGTAGCTCGGGTACATACTCTAGTCTAAAGTATATAACTTGATATATTGTTGGTCCATGATATTCTCTTCAAATGTTCTTTTATTTTCATTCAGCTGAGTAACAGATGTATCTTTTCCCATTGACTTTCTTTACATAAATTCGCATAGAGAAACAGTCAATATTCATGTTACAACTCAACATATTTTTATTGCCAATGTATAGAAACTACAAAATATATCGAGACTGATCGAATTCAAGCTCGGTACAAACTCTAATTGAATCCATAATCTATATACTTCATGTTAAAAAGAATGAATTACAATGATTTTATCATTGATAATTTAATTGCTAGACATCAACAAATAATATAAATGGTACACCACCTAAATATGGTAGTTACCGAACAACAAAAACACGTAGTGCAACAGGTACTCATCTACCTAGTATGATGCGTACAGGTCGAACTATTGAAAATGGTGATTTAAATATAATGGCAGCAACTGGACGAGGACAACAAAAACCTGATGCTTCACCACAAATGCAACGACGTGCAACAGGACTCAAAACACGATCACCAAGTCCAGCACGTCGACCGTCACAAGTTGATGGATTTTTACAGCAACAGCAACAACAAAAAACACGTGTGCCTACAGCAGCAAAACATTGTCATGAATGTGGTGAAGCTTTTCCTGTTGAATGGGCGAAATTTTGTTGTGAGTGTGGTGCAAAACGCTTGGGCCTTTAATTTTTATTTGTATTTGTGTATTTTATTCGATTATA